CCATCACAACTAAAAAATTATATGAGAAGTCTACTTGGCGATAGACACATTGACAATAATCTCTTCTATCAATTGTGGCTCCGCCGACTCCCGGCAAATATTCAGCAGATCCTAGCTGTAGGAGATACGGATGCTGATTTAGACAATATAGCAAAGATAGCCGATAGAATATACGAAAGAAGCAAGAAAACAAGCCCTCCACTACACAGCGTGACAGTAGACGATAGACTTGATACTCTACAGAAGGAAATAAATGTTTTATGCCGAAAACTCTCAGAGTTAACGCAGAGAGAAAAGCCACGAAGGTCATCGCGAGATCGTTCGCGTGAAAGGGCCCGGTCAACTTCTAGACGACGCCCAACTCCCGCGATATGTTGGTATCATCAAATGTTCGGCTACAGGGCTAGAAAGTGCCTACAACCTTGTAGATTTAACAGGGCTAGTAACCGATACCCACGAGTATCAATGGCAACAGCATCAACACACGTAATGCCTGAAAATAGTCACCTCTTTTATATACAAGACCGAACCACTGGCACGCAATTTTTAGTTGACACTGGAGCGGAAATTAGCGTAGTACCTCCATTTAACGAGGAAAGAAAAAACATTAATCCGTCATTAGTGCTAAGAGCAGCAAACAAATCAGATATCAAGACATATGGTAAACGGAAATTGTCCCTAGATTTTGGACGTGGCGCTTCATACCGCTGGAATTTTGTCATAGCAGACGTATCGATGCCCATAATAGGCATAGATTTCTTATGTAACTTTGACCTGCTAGTAGACTCTAGACGACACAGACTTATAAACGGCAGTCAAACCACTTCGATAAGAGGAATACTTACGGAAGCCGTTTCAATGAATCCTGTGATCGATAAAAGTCGTGATGATCCATACAAATTGTTGTTAAAGGAGTTCCCTGAACTTGTAAAAGTAACATACAGTAAAGCAGATCTCAAACATTCTATCCAGCATTACATCGTAACGAGTGGTCCACCAATTAATGCAAGACCAAGAAGGCTAGATCCCAAAAGACTAGCTATCGCTAAACAGGAATTCGACAAGCTAATGAGGCTAGGCATTATAAGGCCATCGAACAGCCCGTGGGCATCCCCGCTACATATGGCCTCGAAAAAGAATGGAGAGGTTAGGCCGTGTGGGGATTACAGAGCACTAAACAAACAGTAGCTGATAGATATCCTATACCGCACATTCATGATTTCACCTACAATATAGAGGGCACTACTATCTTCTCGAAGATCGACTTAGTCAGAGCATACTACCACATCCCTGTCGCCTCACAAGACATACCAAAGACAGCGGTAACAACCCCATTTGGGCTATATGAATTCCTGCGTATGCCTTTTGGACTGACTAACGCGGCACAAACCTTTCAGCGGTTTATAGACCAGGTCATTAGAGGTTTACCTGGGGTATACGCGTATATCGACGATTTATTAGTAGCTAGCACCACTAAAGATGAGCATATACAACAACTACGGCAATTATTTATGCGACTCAGGGAACACGGCATTTCTATAAATATTGAGAAGTGTGAATTTGGAAAAGAATCTTTACAGTTCCTAGGTCACAATATAACTTCGCAAGGCATCACACCAATAGCAAAAGAAGTCGAGGCCATTAAGAATTATCCCCAACCCGATTCATGGAAAAAGTTACGCAGATTCCTCGGGTTAATAAACTATTACAGACGATTTATCCCAAACTGTGCGTCAATATTGCAACCATTAACAGATGCGTTACGCGGACACGCACGCACATTCCAATTATCATCAGAAGCGATTCAAGCATTCGAGCACGCTAAAAAAAGCACTAAATAAGTGACGCTAACTAGACGAAAGAGCGACACACCGTTGGCTATCATGACGGATGCTTCAGACGTAGCGGTAGGAGCCGTTTTACAACAATTAGTAAATGGCACATGGGAACCGCTCTCATTTTTTTCGAAAAGACTGAATCCAACACAAACAAGATATAGTACCTTCGGAAGAGAACTCCTAGCAATCTACTTAGCGATAAAACACTTCCGTCATATGGTCGAAGGCATAAATTTTACCGTCTATACAGACCACAAACCACTAACGAAAGCATTAAGCGCAAAGCAAGACAATTATTCCCCGAGAGAGATCCGACAATTAGAGTTCATTTCACAGTTCACGTCTGACATTCAGTATATCAAAGGCAATAGCAACGAAGTGGCAGACGCACTATCCAGAACGATGGTCAACGCTCTCGTCCAGTCCGAAATCGATTATCACAAGTTAGCAGCATTACAAAATATCGACGTCGAGTTAAACAGACTAAAGTCTGCCAATACAACCTCGTTAGTTCTCAAAGAAACTCCATTGGAAGAAGTAAGCATCACCTGCGATATTTCTACAGGTCAACCAAGACCATTTATTCCAAAACCGCTAAGGCGAAACATTTTCGAAGCCATGCACAATATTTCACATCCCGGAATAAAGGCCACCATCAAACTAATCAGCGAACGTTTTGTATGGCCAAGTATGAATCGGGATATTCGTAATTGGACGCAAGCGTGTGTAAAATGCCAAAGAGTTAAGATACATCGCCACACCAGTTCCGCAGTAGGTCATTTCCGTCATCCCGATAACAGATTCGAGCACATACATATCGATATTATAGGACCACTGCCGGTTTCCAATGGCTTCAGTTACATTTTCACTTGCATTGATAGATTCACACGATGGCCTGTAGCTGTTCCCGTAAAAGATATTACAGCCGAAACTATCGCAAAAACCCTAGTAGAGCATTGTATCTCCCATTATGGCGTACCTACTAATATTACAACCGATAGAGGAGCTCAATTCGAGAGCCGCCTCTTCCAACAACTCACAGAACTACTCGGAATCAAACGAATTCGCACAACATCCTACCATCCGATGTCGAATGGTATGGTAGAGAGATTGCATCGGCAACTTAAAGCCTCCCTTACAGCTGTCATCAGCAATAATGATTGGGCCAGCAAGCTACCGTTAGTCATGTTGAGCTTAAGATCAACAATCAAACAAGATATAGAATGCTGCCCAGCAGAATTGGTTTATGGAACCACACTACGTCTGCCAGGAGAGTTTTTCACCGCAGGTAAAAGCGTTCCAACTGATATAGCCGACTATGTACAGCATCTTAAGCAGCATATGAGTAGTCTAAGGATAACGCTTCCGAGACAACATCAACGCCGTGTGTACATACCCAAACAACTAAGTGACAGTACACATGTGTTTATCAGAAGGGATAATGTGCAACGTCCCTTACAACCGGCCTACGATGGTCCATTTAAGGTGATTAAAAGAGACGACAAAACTATTACGGTAGACAAAGCTGGAAAAACGGATGTAATTAGCATCGACCGAGTCAAACCAGCTTTCATCGAAGCCTACGAGCAGCCAGTACATACAGATACTGCGAAAACCGTTGAATCATCGAAACGTCAGTTCCAAAAATCAACAACGTTAACTCAACAAAAAAACGAGACTCCGATAACAACAAGATCTGGCCGCAGAGTAAGATGGCCCCAACATTATGTTGCTACAATTTTCTATTAATAATAATCTACTATTCGGAATATTAATTATAACTTCTACTTCATTGTATACACATGCATTATCAGGCTCATGTTATACGCTATAAAACTCAACGTATCTTATGTACCCTTAAACTTATACGTATAATTTTTGTTTAAAATGTAAAGACAATACCGCATTCCTTCTATTCTTGCTATTATTTTATGTAACCTCACGGACGGGCGCAAACCAAATGTACAGAACACACTCTAACTTCATCTTAATTTTGTATAAGCCTTTTTTTTCAAACAATTGTAACTACCCTATTCAGTCTACTATTTTTTGTGTGCAAACACAGACATTTTCCATATATCTTTGTTTGCAGGGGAGAGCTATTATAGCGACTCACGTGCAAATGGGTTTATTCTCATTTAACTCAGTTAAGCCCTTTTGTTAACTTATTTAATGGACAAAGTCATCCATGATATAACAACTTGTTGTACTATCTTTATTATTATGCTTGTATGAAATACATATGCTTGAACATTGTTTAGCGCCTACGCATGTATTCATTCTGCTAGCTTCACTATTAACTGCTTAATCTATTCGCTGACTCACCTATTTTCCTATACATATATATACCTGTACATTTTGCACGCATTGACTACAGCTACTTGCTACTGCTACAATTGTAGTTTGCTTGCTCATTCATTTTGCCTCTCTGCTGTCTGGTCCGAATTATCTACTAAATAAAACTGTAGTAGCTGCTTCTTTTTGCCTTCTGATTTCAAATATCGTTGAAGATTGTACGATAACGGTTCGAGGGTGATTAAATAACGAAGCACAGCCACTACAAGTATCTCGCACGAGCGCCTTACCATTAGATCACTGAGCAGGCCAGCATCTAACGGCGTTCACGTCTAACTTCAACCAATCCACGAAGTTGCGCCACCGTCATCATTATCTTCAGTGAGTTGATATCTGATAACAGACCTGGTTGAACTCCAATGGTAGCGGCTTCTCACTAGAACTCCATTAGTGTCACTTGAAGTCAGTCACTAGTGAGCAAATGATTATTATCAGAAAGGGTTTCATGCACGCGACACTGATAGGTCCTGGTTTAGAATCTCACGAAGGGAGACTTCGTGGATGTTCACTGCTGAGGAGCCCCTTACTAAGATGAATCGGACGTCTAGTGCTCCCAGGTTTTCCATGGTGGTCTAAATTCAATTGACTCATGGTTACGATCAGTGGAGAGAATAACTGTCTATACTTTTGTAAATCACTAATCATTTCATTAGAAAAAGTAAACAATATTTATGTTTTCATTACATATTTAAAACAGTGATTCCCGATATTATGAAAGTAAATTGTGCAATTAAAAAGATGTTGATAATAACTAAAGAAATATTTCCTTGATTATTTCAACCTGTAATTGACTAAAAGTTTGTTACATTATTTCGTAGTAGTAGTAGTAGTAGTAGTAGTAGTAGTAGTAGTAGTAGTAGCAGTAGTAGTAGTAGTAGTAGTAGTAGTAGTAGTAGTAGTAGTAGTAGTAGTAGTAGTAGTAGTAGTAGTAGTAGTAGTAGTAGTAGTAGTAGTAGTAGTAGTAGTAGTAGTAGTAGTAGTAGTAGTAGTAGTAGTAGTAGTAGTAGTAGTAGTAGTAGTAGTAGTAGTAGTAGTAGTAGTAGTAGTAGTAGTAGTAGTAGTAGTAGTAGTAGTAGTAGTAGTAGTAGTAGTAGTAGTAGTAGTAGTAGTAGTAGTAGTAGTAGTAGTAGTAGTAGTAGTAGTAGTAGTAGTAGTAGTAGTAGTAGTAGTAGTAGTAGTAGTAGTAGTAGTAGTAGTAGTAGTAGTAGTAGTAGTAGTAGTAGTAGTAGTAGTAGTAGTAGTAGTAGTAGTAGTAGTAGTAGTAGTAGTAGTAGTAGTAGTAGTAGTAGTAGTAGTAGTAGTAGTAGTAGTAGTAGTAGTAGTAGTAGTAGTAGTAGTAGTAGTAGTAGTAGTAGTAGTAGTAGTAGTAGTAGTAGTAGTAGTAGTAGTAGTAGTAGTAGTAGTAGTAGTAGTAGTAGTAGTAGTAGTAGTAGTAGTAGTAGTAGTAGTAGTAGTAGTAGTAGTAGTAGTAGTAGTAGTAGTAGTAGTAGTAGTAGTAGTAGTAGTAGTAGTAGTAGTAGTAGTAGTAGTAGTAGTAGTAGTAGTAGTAGTAGTAGTAGTAGTAGTAGTAGTAGTAGTAGTAGTAGTAGTAGTAGTAGTAGTAGTAGTAGTAGTAGTAGTAGTAGTAGTAGTAGTAGTAGTAGTAGTAGTAGTAGTAGTAGTAGTAGTAGTAGTAGTAGTAGTAGTAGTAGTAGTAGTAGTAGTAGTAGTAGTAGTAGTAGTAGTAGTAGTAGTAGTAGTAGTAGTAGTAGTAGTAGTAGTAGTAGTAGTAGTAGTAGTAGTAGTAGTAGTAGTAGTAGTAGTAGTAGTAGTAGTAGTAGTAGTAGTAGTAGTAGTAGTAGTAGTAGTAGTAGTAGTAGTAGTAGTAGTAGTAGTAGTAGTAGTAGTAGTAGTAGTAGTAGTAGTAGTAGTAGTAGTAGTAGTAGTAGTAGTAGTAGTAGTAGTAGTAGTAGTAGTAGTAGTAGTAGTAGTAGTAGTAGTAGTAGTAGTAGTAGTAGTAGTAGTAGTAGTAGTAGTAGTAGTAGTAGTAGTAGTAGTAGTAGTAGTAGTAGTAGTAGTAGTAGTAGTAGTAGTAGTAGTAGTAGTAGTAGTAGTAGTAGTAGTAGTAGTAGTAGTAGTAGTAGTAGTAGTAGTAGTAGTAGTAGTAGTAGTAGTAGTAGTAGTAGTAGTAGTAGTAGTAGTAGTAGTAGTAGTAGTAGTAGTAGTAGTAGTAGTAGTAGTAGTAGTAGTAGTAGTAGTAGTAGTAGTAGTAGTAGTAGTAGTAGTAGTAGTAGTAGTAGTAGTAGTAGTAGTAGTAGTAGTAGTAGTAGTAGTAGTAGTAGTAGTAGTAGTAGTAGTAGTAGTAGTAGTAGTAGTAGTAGTAGTAGTAGTAGTAGTAGTAGTAGTAGTAGTAGTAGTAGTAGTAGTAGTAGTAGTAGTAGTAGTAGTAGTAGTAGTAGTAGTAGTAGTAGTAGTAGTAGTAGTAGTAGTAGTAGTAGTAGTAGTAGTAGTAGTAGTAGTAGTAGTAGTAGTAGTAGTAGTAGTAGTAGTAGTATAGTAAGTAGTATATAGACTTCTACTATACTACAGTATAGTAGTTTAATACACTACTACTACTACGAATACTACTACTACAACTTACTACTACTACTACTACTACTACTACTACTACTACTACTACTACTACTACTACTACTACTACTACTACTACTACTACTACTACTACTACTACTACTACTACTACTACTACTACTACTACTACTACTACTACTACTACTACTACTACTACTACTACTACTACTACTACTACTACTACTACTACTACTACTACTACTACTACTACTACTACTACTACTACTACTACTACTACTACTACTACTACTACTACTACTACTACTACTACTACTACTACTACTACTACTACTACTACTACTACTACTACTACTACTACTACTACTACTACTACTACTACTACTACTACTACTACTACTACTACTACTACTACTACTACTACTACTACTACTACTACTACTACTACTACTACTACTACTACTACTACTACTACTACTACTACTACTACTACTACTACTACTACTACTACTACTACTACTACTACTACTACTACTACTACTACTACTACTACTACTACTACTACTACTACTACTACTACTACTACTACTACTACTACTACTACTACTACTACTATACTACTACTACTACTACTACTACTACTACTACTACTACTACTACTACTACTACTACTACTACTACTACTACTACTACTACTACTACTACTACTACTACTACTACTACTACTACTACTACTACTACTACTACTACTACTACTACTACTACTACTACTACTACTACTACTACTACTACTACTACTACTACTACTACTACTACTACTACTACTACTACTACTACTACTACTACTACTACTACTACTACTACTACTACTACTACTACTACTACTACTACTACTACTACTACTACTACTACTACTACTACTACTACTACTACTACTACTACTACTACTACTACTACTACTACTACTACTACTACTACTACTACTACTACTACTACTACTACTACTACTACTACTACTACTACTACTACTACTACTACTACTACTACTACTACTACTACTACTACTACTACTACTACTACTACTACTACTACTACTACTACTACTACTACTACTACTACTACTACTACTACTACTACTACTACTACTACTACTACTACTACTACTACTACTACTACTACTACTACTACTACTACGTAATAATGTAACAAACTTTTAGTCAATTACAGGTTGAAATAATCAAGGAAATATTTCTTTAGTTATTATCAACATCTTTTTAATTGCACAATTTACCTTCATAATATCGGGAATCACTGTTTTAAATGTGTAATGAAAACATAAATATTGTTTACTTTTTCTAATGAAATGATTAGTGATTTACAAAAGTATAGACAGTTATTCTCTCCACTGATCGTAACCATGAGTCAATTGAATTTAGACCACCATGGAAAACCTGGGAGCACTAGACGGCCGATTCATCTTAGTAAGGGGCTCCTCAGCAGTGAACATCCACGAAGTCTCCCTTCGTGAGATTGTAAATCAGGACCTATCAGTGTCGCGTGCATGAAACCCTTTCTGATAATAATCATTTGCTCACTAGTGACTGACTTCAAGTGACACTAATGGAGTTCTAGTGAGAAGCCGCTACCATTGTAGTTCAAACAGGTCTGTTATCAGATATCAACTCACTGAAGATAATGATGACGGTGGTGCAACTTCGTGGATTGGTTGAAGTTAGACATGAACGCCGTTAGATGCTGGCCTGCTCAGTGATCTAATGGTAAGGCGCTCGTGCGAGATACTTGTAGTGGCTGTGATTCGTTATTTAATCACCCTCGAACCGTTATCGTACAATCTTCAACGATATTTGAAATCAGAAGGCAAAAAGAAGCAGCTACTACAGTTTTATTTAGTAGATAATTCGGACCAGACAGCAGAGAGGCAAAATGAATGAGCAAGCGAACTACGATTGTAGCAGTAGCAAGTAGCTGTAGTCAATGCGTGCAAAATGTACAGGTATATATATGTATAGGAAAATAGGTGAGTCAGCGAATAGATTAAGCAGTTAATAGTGAAGCTAGCAGAATGAATACATGCGTAGGCGCTAAACAATGTTCAAGCATATGTATTTCATACAAGCATAATAATAAAGATAGTACAACAAGTTGTTATATCATGGATGACTTTGTCCATTAAATAAGTTAACAAAAGGGCTTAACTGAGTTAAATGAGAATAAATCCATTTGCACGTGAGTCGCTATATACTGATAGGTCCTGGGTACGGATTTCGTGGGGGGCGGGATCGTGGATGTGCACTGCTGACTAACGGCCGTCCAGTGTTTCCAGGTTATCCATGGTGATCTAGCTTCAATTGACTCATTATTTCAATCATTGATATAACAATTTATTAACGACGACGACGACGAGAGGAGGAGGAGTAGAAAAACGAGAGAGCAGAGCAAAAAAATCATTCTTTTTTCTCTCAATTTTTTTGTTGATTTGAATTCGATCGACTTTTTGAACTTCTTGATGTTTTAATTCTTTCGCTATTTTTTACATTTTCATTTCTATTTAGAATTGGTTCTGTATTATCACTATGTACAATCATTGTTGGATTACATGATGTGTCTTTATTATTTTTATATTGTTTTATTATATTATTTCTATCATTCATACACATTTCGTAATATTTATAATGTACTTCGTCAGTTGCGAACTATTGATTGAAAAAAAAAAAGAAAAAAATGAGGAGAAAAGAATGAAAATAACACAATCTTAAGTACATATTATTGAACAATAAATATCCAAACTAAATGACAGAATGAAACTCTAATTTATGGACGAGTCAATCAGAAGGGTTTGAAAGATTTCATGGTGATGACGCTTTCTTAAGTTCCTGATGAATACGGTTACCTTCAAAAACTTGGATGTGTGCATAATGTCGTTATTTGTAAGCGTTATTTTATGGGACCTACAACTGGAGTACACACTGACAATATTGAAGTTATGTGGTCGAAGCTAAAAAGGTTCTGACGACCCTATCATGGCTCGAGAGGTCGACTATTATGGAGCCATAATGGATGAGTCCCTCTTTCGTATGTACTATTATTTCAGTAATTCTGAACCTTTTTCAAACCATGATTAGTCTTCGAACCACTTTAATTCTCTGGTTTTTTCGTAATATATACATTAGTGTAGAACATTGAAGATTCGTTCAAAGGTTGTCCATAGAGTCTCGTCAATGAGAGATATAATCAATTAGAAACTAATCAACATCAAGATCTAAGCTATGAGTTATATGTGGAGAAATTTAAACATTTCATAACTGATGATAACGTTCAGAGAGTCGACGGTCTGAGCACTAGGGTAGTATCACAGCCCACACTAAAATCAAGTGATTGTGTGGAGTATATGTATTCCGTACCCCTTTGCATCAATATTTATGTGTTCAAATAAATAAAATTAGTCAGTCAGTAACAACGCACAACTTCGTACGTACGTACATCAGTTCGAGTTGCCACACCATATTATCACAGAGATGCAGTCAACTGTAGGATTGCTCCAAATATAGCTAAAAATCATTATAGAAATGTTTAAATAGGTTAACATAAAGACTAGGAATGAACTTCAAATTTAACTAGAATATCTAATTCAGTGCTTGAGCTTGTATCTACCATTTATATAAGATGTTTTGTGGTTTTTCAGCTGGTTGGTCATGCTTTAATTGTTCGTTAGAACAATAAAGATAAACTATCTAACGCATAATATTTGTAAGTATTTATGTTTTCTCGTTGGCATTTATGTTAAGCATCAAACTGATCAATCTCTTTTAAAGTATGTACATCTTCAGAAAACTTCTTATATAGTTCTATTTAGTCACAGGATTGAAATAATGTTAAATAATAGTTGGCAATGGATTTTGTCCTAAGCAAGACTCCTAGATTAGTCATGTTAATGTTGACACTAAGACTGTCAACTCGTATCTTTCAAATAGTACCTAACCTTTGTATACATCTGATCGTTTGTTTAGTTATCTGATTGTCACACACACAGACAAAACAGTATAAGTTTAAAAGATAATTTATTTGTTACAAGTTAATACTACCCAGCGAGCTGTCCAAAAATGATATAATACTGAATAACTATTCTATTCTCGGACAGTATCATTCAACTCACAATCGAGCTTATAACATTTAGTTCACATGATAAGATATTTTTTTGACCATTGAATCCACTGTCAATAGTACACATTTCCATATCTAATCCATTCTCATCACTTAGCAACTAAATTAACATGGTATAATTAAGTACTATTCATCATCTATCTAACTGTATAGCCTTGGATAAAACAACAATAAATTATAAATGATTTGAATGTATTCATCACTTGTGTCCTGTGTGCCCTGTTCGTGTATAATGTAATAATATCACTAATTAGAGAACAGTGAATTATCGATCTGACCAATGACTCATTAAGCATTAAAAATTAGCGCCGTAACCTTGAAATATTTTTTAAACGCGCCTGATTGGCTCATTGATAAATGAGATAATAAATGTTATAATCACAATGATTAATCATACTTACTTGAATCGTATTCAATAAATCAATAAAATTTTGTTGAGATTGATTTTTTTTGGTTTTAAATTTAAAAATTTAAATTTTTTTTAAAAATAATCAATAATTAAATTGATATTTAAATTTTAAAATTTTTTATTGAATAATGATTAAATTTGTTTTATAGAATATTCTAGAATAAACCATTAATGGATTGAATAAAAATTCATTATAAATTGAACTTGTTCAATACGTTTACATTTAATCTCATTAAAATGATGTTAAAATTTGTTTAAATTCATTAATTAAATTAGATAAATTGTACGTAATAATTCTGGTGGGAATTTTAAAATATAAATGTTCAATGGATTTGATAATAAGGTATGATCTAATGCAGAATGATCTTTTTATATATTGAATTTGATTATCTAAAGAAGGAAAGAAAAAGAGAGAGAGAGACGAAGAATTTTTTTAAAAAAACAAAAGAAAATGAATGATATATGAATGAAAATGAATTGATCAACAAAGTGAAATCTAATATAATCCATGTTTCGTCTTTTTGTGAGATTCGTCAGTTGTTCATATCCATGATTTACGATTTTAATTCATGTTCACTTCAAGTTATAGAACAAGTTACCTATGTATTGATAAATTATTTACTGATGTTTTAAAGTTTAAAGAAAACAATTAAACCTCTTTGAAAAAAAAGTGAGTAAAATTTTTTATATCCAAGCGAAGATTAAATCACGAGTACCGTCTGAGACAAATTAATTGATTAATATAATCTATACATTCTTATGATATAACTATTCAATAATTGGATATAGATCGAATGTTCGAGGTCCCTAGCTGAAGCAGGTAGGTTTCTTAGGGGGGCATAACCAGAGCCTTTAACCTAAAAATGTAATCCACAAGACGGTGGAGTGACTTTAGGAAATGCACTTTCATGTTAGCTGGTTACCAACAATTGATTCGTATGCCATTTGTTTCCTTAGGATATTAGATTACATGTGAATCATTGATTTGGAATCAAGATTTTGCCACTCCCCTATGTCATATCCGAACGAAGAATATGTCATCAGTACCTTCTGAGACCTATTAATAGACTAATATCATTTATATATTCTTATGGTATAAATATTCAGTAACTATATTGTGTATATCTATATTCCCGTTATTAACAGCTTTATTTTAAGCCATATATTATTATTGTACGATTTACGGTTCTTAAGCTATGTTCAGTTTATTAATTACTGCCTCCCTCGTTCATAGTCACATTTTGGCGTTACTGTGTATGAATGTTATTTCCTATTTTATGCTGCTTTGCAGTCTGTTTGGTTGATACATAAACGCAGTATGTCTGAAACAAATGATTCGATTCGATTTGCATAGTGGAAGCTGGTATTTGTGTTTTGTTCTCAAGTGGACGGGCTAGGCGGATATAGGACCAATAAGGACGCTAGACTGCCTATACCGGCCGAACGTCATTGGTTTAGGCACTGTGCGAAGATTGTACAAGTCGTATTTTGATTGGTGGACAAATCACATGATAACTAGCCGGATATAAAGTCATAATAGGAATTGTTGAATTATTACTTCTTCAAATATGAATTTAACAAGGAATTGAATGATTGAGTTTTCATGCCATGGTCGTAACTACAGTACAATGTGAATATTATTACAAACACAATACTTTCCTTATAAAAACACTGGTAAGAGTAGAGAGAAATAAGCGTTTGAATCA